GTTTGGCCTTGCAGTAATAGGCCTTGGGTTACTGCTGTCTTCCTCTTGTGAGATTAGAGGAGGTCAGAACATGTGGCCTCCTCACAGTTTTTACACATGTGCATGCCTAACTGTTTTAAGCACTTCCAGATTCCTATAATCTTTGATGGCAGCATGTCTGTCAAAAAATTACTCTAGATAAAAATAACAAAAATTCAAATTTCTTGTAGTATTATAATAGACACAATTATAGAACTGAAAATGCTTACTGCCAGCAGAGTCTATAACCCGCTTCCCCTGTGATGTCAGCTTTCATCTAGGCAACAGTTGCCTGTTTGGTGGCCACTTTATTTACAGGCAGGTTTCCTAGCCTAAGATTTTATATAGGGCCTGAACCAAACTTCTCATTTAAAAATTACTACATTAATTAATCCCATTTGGGGAAATTCTACTTTGAATCCTAAAAAAGGCAAACATAAGCGTTAACTTAGCTATAGGACTCTTATAACTTGTTTTAGGTGGTTGATAACATAAAATTGTATTTCTATGTATAAATGAAAATTTTATTTATTAATCTACTGATATGGGAAAAAACATATAGATGGAGTAGGGGCTTTCTAACACATGGAAAAATGTTCCTGTTATTTTACAATTCTTTCCTGATTCAACCTTAAATGTTAATCTTATATTCAGGTTGTTTCTCAATAAAAAATTTTAAACCAAGCATCCTTTTTTATAGAAAGGAGATATCACAAAATAAATAGTGTGAATATTATTAAAACCTAACTTTTATCAGGGAGCTCTGGTAGCCTAGTGCCTAAGGCACTTGACTGCTAACCAGAAGGCTGGCGGTTCAAACCCACCAGCCACTCCTCGGAAGGAAGATGGGGCAATCTACTTCCGTAGTGATACTGCCTCGGAAACCCAAGGAGGGGTCTCTATGAGTCGGGTCTGACTCGACGGCACATAACAACAACAAGAAGAAGCTTTTATCATTCTCTAAAATGCTAGAGTAATCAGGTTAACAATTTTAATACTTACTCACAATCACCACTTTTTCTTGGTTTGTGTCAGAGAATGTAAGAACTTCATTCAACCAGTTCAGCTGTTCTTGGCTGAATCCTCCATTAAACTGGACAAACTGGGGCTCAGAAAGTCCTGAAATGGATTCATAAAGTCAGGTCCACCAAATGTCATTTTCCTTCCTCCTTTGGGTGTTCAAACTTAGTTAATACAAGGATACTTCCATTTTTCTCTAGGAATGTTTTTGAGTGGCAGCAATCTTAAAGATTAAATAACTCAAAAAGAGAAATCACAAGAATTTAGAAAATATATAAATCGTAATTTATCTTAATCTTAGTTTTGACATTCTTCTGCTTACTTCACTGGCTTTCCATTACATTTTAAATAAAATACAAACTCCTTACAACGCCAACAAGTCACTACATATTCTAGCTCCTGTTTACTGTTCCAAATTACCTTGTAGCTAGTGACCCTTTTCTGTGTTGAAAAATGCCAAAATCTTATTCTGCTTAAGGCCTTTACATTTGTTTTTCCCTGTTTGGAATTCTCTGCCCCCATAAACCCACTGAGTTGATTCTGACTCACATTAACCTTATTCAAAAAAGCAAAATTGCCTCATAGGGTTTCCAAGGCTGTAATCTTTATGGAGGCAGACTGCCACATTTTCTTCCCATGATGTGGCTGGTGAATTCAAACCAACGACCATTTGGTTAGCAGCTAAGCACTTAAATACTGAGTCATCAGGGTTCCTTAATTTGCCAAAGTTCCTCCCAAAGATGACTCCTTTTTTTCATTCAAGTGTCAGTATAAATGCTTATTTCTTTATAAAGAGGCTTTCCCTCTGACAACCTACTCTAAGAGGAACTCTAGTCCTTTCCTATAACATCATCTTGCTTTATTTTCCTGGTAGGACTTATTACTATGGAAGATAGTCTTGTTTTTATTTAAATTATTATCTGTCCTGTCCACCTACCTCTCTTGCACTCCATCCATAAAAAGGGATATTTTTAAAGCTCTGAATAGATCACCCTAGGAAAAGTGCCCAGCACAGAGTAAGCATTCAAGTATCTGCTAAATAAAGGAATCTTGAATCAACTGCAAATAATCAAGGCTTGTGACATCAGGATTGTGAGAAATCCTGACCCTTAACAACAGCAACAATAAACTTTTACCTTAATCGTGCATCTTCCTGCCGAATAAAAGGTAGCTGAAGAATTTAAAGACAATGTATAAGATTCTCAGGTCAAAGGAATAATTCACCTTGAGGACTATTCAATTCCGCATTTGGATTATGCTCCTTCAGTATCTTCATACATTGCTGGTATTTTGGAGAAGACTGATCCATACCTAAGACACTCAAGTCATAAGCATCAAGTAAAATGAACCGAAATTTAGGGAATGGTACAAAATGATAAGCGTAATAATCCTCTGATGGTATGGTCTCAGGATGATGAACAATCTGGTCTTGTAGAAACTTTGTGTTAAGTTTAGAGTTTGTTAAGTGGTCTCTACTGAAGTTATAAAACTCGTGATTTCCCCATATATGATGAACTGGTACTTTAAGCATTTTGAATGTGTTCATAACAAGTTCGAGTGATTTTTCTGATGTATGATACTGAGCATTATACCCATCGATGATATCTCCAAGTTGAAGAACACAACAGGGTATATTTTCTTCTTTATTCCAGTCTTCAATAGCACCCTGTAAATGAAGAAGACTATGTCTGTAGTATCTCCTTCTGGTTCCATGGAAATTATAGCCATCTTCTAAATCAGCATACTGAATATCAGCTATAACTCCAAAAGAGAAAACAAGTTCTGAACTCTCACTTGGGGTTCCAGCATTGAGCTTATCATCCATAACCTCCAAACAGCTTTTCTGTAAACTAAATAAAGTAAAAAAGATAACTAAGTTATAAACATCTTTCCTAACTGGACTGAAGAAAATGCGGAAATGAATATTAAACGTAATAGTTTAATTCACTAAATGTCTTGGTATAAAGAAAAGTGCATAGGCTTTGGATGGTCATAGGTCCAAATTACTATGTCTTTAAAATGTTTCAGTTTTCTCATCTGTGAAATACATGACAAACTCTATCCCTGAGAAGATGAACAATTTACAAAAAGGTATCTTCATCCTACTAATGAATGTTGTTGTTGTTATGTGCCGTGGAGTCGGCCCCGACTCATAGTGACCCCTCCTTGGGTTTCCGAGGCAGTATCACTACGGAAGTAGGATTGCCCAACCTTCCTTCCGAGGAGTGGCTGGTGGGTTTGAACCGCCAGCCGTCTGGTTAGCAGGCAAGTGTCTTAGCCACTATGCTACCAGAGATCCCACTAATGAATAGGCATTCCAATCATAGTAAAGGCAAATTCAAATCTGGAATAATTTGATTTTTTAAAAATATGCACTACCTTTAAACACACACACACCTTTCCCACAAACACCAAAATGGTTCTATCAAAACGTCAAGATTTTATTTGAAATTGTACAGTTCACTAATACATTCTGCCTTAGGCATCAGATTCCACTACAGGCTATTTTCTGTCAGGCTAATTCTTTTCTCTTTGCTGGTGGTAGGTGACCTGAAATAATTTTCTTGTATTTCATGTCTAGAATAACAGGAAGAGGAATTTTTTTAAAAGACTCCTTTTACTTAAATATGTATATGCAAGCATTTGGAGAGGACTAATTTTAACCAAAAAAAAGAAAAAAAAAAATCTGGCATAAAATTGCCACCGATGTGACTACTGTCATTCTGTGAGCAGTGGTCCTTGGTTCTTCAACAGCTGTATTCTAATTCTACCTTTTTTCAACCTGAATATTAACCCCCTACCCCCACAATCAAAATGGCAAATATCTAATCTTTTCTTCTTACAAATGATTTTTGCCCTGCATTTTGGCGAGAAGAGCCAGGGACTTAAATTTACCCTGCCCAAAAAAACCTGTTATTTTATTAGATTGTTTATAATCTAAATTTATAATCATCTTTTAAAAGACCCAAGAACAGTAAGGATTAAAACAAAACTAAAGGCTAAGATCCTAAATTATCAACTATTTTTATTATAAATATTATAGTAATAAACTATTGCTGTGGGTCTGAATTTATTATTAAAATTTAATTGCTTCTAAAATTTCATTTGGAACTTCTAAAATTATTTTCAGATGCCTGCCCTCCAGTAATTTGCTCAATATACTTGCAGAGCTTCAATTAATCCTCTACAAACATATGAAATCCTACTTCTAAGTGCTCACTTAACAGAGATGGAGGCAACAATTCCACAATCAGCAATAAAAATGAGACTTCAGTTTTACTTATTTGAGAATTAGGGGTCTCTTTGACTCAACAGCAGTGGGTTTGGTTGGTTTGGTTTCATTCTAAAACTGTTGTCACTAATGATACACTTACCATCTGGTTCATTCAGTTATAAACTTCAGCTACTTTCCTCAATTTGGCTGGATATAAACAACAACAACAACAAAAAAGCCTCTGCCATTGAGTTGATTCTGACTCATAGTGAATATATAGGACAGGGTAGATCTGCCCCACAGGGCATATTTAAGGCTATAAATGTTTATGGTAGCAAAGTGTCACATCTTTCTCCCATGGAGCGTCTGGTGAGTTCAACCTCCTGTCTTTTGGTTAGCAGCTGAGCACTTTAACTACTGCACTATGATGGGCTCCCTGGTTGGCTATAACTAGTCCTAAAACAGGCTAGCCCTAAAATAGTACCAGAAAAGACAGAGAAATCCTGAAAAATGTTCTCATGTTCTTTTTTTTTATATTTGCTCATTTTCCCCTTCAATCCCCATCTGAAAGCTCCACTAGATATCAAGTTAACAAGTATGTATACAAAGTAGGATAAATGAGACAATCTGATCTGAAAGGTAAAGAATTCAGATCACGATTACAAGAAGTACAAAACTCACCAAGTCAGCTGAAAAACCTCGAGTTCTATTAGCTTTCAACTTTTTGTGATTCCAAATACAGATTAGTGAGATGATCAAACCAAAAAAATACTTCAACAAGTATGTTACATGGAACATTATTAGCAAAGCTTAAGGGAAAATTGTTTCTGGGAATGCTTTTTATCCTCTGCCAGATGAGCTGTTTGTGTTTACCTCTAAACAAGGTTTAAAAGCTGTATCACCATGGGACTCAGAGCCTTTAAGAAGATAATATGTACTATGGATCTTCTAGAGGTAATTTAGTTTAAATTAACTTGATCTTTTCTCCAGTAGACAGCTGTTATTTTTGCCTACCCAGCATTAATTTCCCGTTCTTTGGGTAACAACACCTCAATTTTCCTTTAGGCTTCTACCCAATTCCTCACTTTCAGTCCCTGTGGTTTGACCTTCACCTCTGGCCAGCAGGCACATAACCCAATTGGGTTCAATAAACATCAGCCCTGGGATTTTTGCTAGAACGATTAACAAAACTAATGGAACTATCTCTGCTAAGCTGATAACTAAAGCTCAAGTTGCTAGGGAAAAAGTTTTCTGGAAATAAACCCAAAACAGAAGGAAGCAAATCTAAATGGTGGTAAGAAGTAGATTCTGGGAAACATAAGTAGAAAACCTGGATCCACCTGTCCTTACTAGAACTACCCACAGTCACTTAGTTACATCAGCCAATAAACTCCCCTGTTAGGCTTCAAGCCAAATTGAATTGGTCTCCCAAAATGCCTATCAGATATAATTTCCACTGGGAAACAGTTCATTTTATGGAGACTCAAAGTTACACCAAGAGTTAGCAACTTTTTTTTTCCTTTTTATTGTGATTTGGATGAAAATTTACAGAGCAAATACAATTTCCATACAGCAGTTCACATACACTTTGTCTCATCACACTGACCACAATTTACCACAATGCAACAGCTCCCCTCCTACTTCCTCCCAATAGTTACCTCTTCTTTGTGCCCATTCCTCCATGCACTCCTGCCCCCTGATCTGTCTCCCTGTGCATAAGCAGCCCTTCTTTCTCTCATGCTTGTTCTCTCCAAGGACTGTATCTACCTCAGGTAAATGTTCAACTCATATGCCTGTCTATTGTTTGGCTGGAAGTCACAGGTGTGAGTTAGCAACCTTCTAAAGAAAGTTAAACTAATTGGAAAGAACCACCAAGGACCACATACTTCAAAACAGCAATGTATTCTAGGGTAGAAAATGTTGAATACACACAGCTTATAAGGAAAGGGAACATGCAATTTAATTATTATTTTGAAAAACAGACATGTAAATTTACACTATGATTTGTTAAGATTAGAAAGAGGTGAACAGGAGTATCTTGAGAGTAAGACAACCAGGATCAGGTAGGTATAGTGGCCAAATGACTGCACAACAGGCATCTGACAAGAATTTTAGAAGCAATTCAATTTTAATAGTAAGTTCAAACCCACAGCAATAGTTTACTACTGTAATCTTTATAATAAAAAGAGTTGATAATTTAGGATCTTAGCCTTTAGTTTTGTTTTGACCCTTAGTGCTCTTGGCTATTTCAAGAGATCATTATAAATTTAGATTGTAAATAATCTAATAAAATAACAGGTTTTTTTGAGCAGGGGGAGTTTAAATCCTTGGCTCTTCTTGTCCACAATGCAGGTCAGAAATCATTTGTAAGAAGAAAAGATTAGATATTTGCTGTTTTGGTTGTGGGAGTAGGGGGTTAATATTCAGGCTAAAAAAAGGTAGAATTAGAATCCAACTGTTAAAGAACCAAGAACAATTGCTCACAGAAATGACTGATGCTATCACATCAGTTTCAGTTAATTTTATGCCGTTTTTTCCTTTTTTTGATTAAAATTATTCCTCTCAAAATACATACACATATTTAAGTAAAAAGATAAAAAAAAATTTCCTCTCTTTTCACATCTTCACTTCCTCCCCATTATTCCTGATACAAAATATGAGAAAATTATTTCAGGTCACCTACCCACCAGCAAAGAGAAAACACAGCCTGGCAGAAACAACCTATGATGGGAATCTAATACATAAGGGAGAGTGTATTGGTGTCATACACAACTTTCAAATAAAACCATGAAGTTTCGATAGAATCATTTTGGTGTTTGTGGGAAATGCATGTGTGTTTAAAACTACTGCACATTTTTTAAAAATCAGAAATTATTCCTGATCTGAATTTGATTTAAATTCAATCAGAATGCCTATTCAATAATAAGATGGAAATATCTTTTTGTAAATTGTTACTCTCCTCAGGGATAGACTTTGTCATCTATTTCACAGATGGGAAAATTGAAACATTTTAAAGACATAGTAAGTTGGACCTATAATCATCCAAAGCCCATGTACTTTTCTCTATACCAAGGCATTTAATTGATTAAATTATTACATTTGATATTCATTTTAGTATTTCCTTTAGTCCAGTTAGAAAAATTAAGACGTTTATAATCTAGTTATCTATTTACATTAAGTTATTTATTAACTTACTTATTACTTAATGTGGCCCTACGAGCCAGTCTTTTTGACTCCTACAATGATTGGGTGAGATTGTGAAATAAGGTGTTTGTGGTCCACCAAAGGGATTAGACAGCTTGCTGCAGATATAAATAAGATGTATGGAACCTGTGACGGTCAAGGTTATATATCAACTTGGCCATAATTTTCAGTGGTTTAGCAATATGTAATTATGTAATTTGGCAATTATATAATGATGTAGTTATCTTCCATTTTGTAGTCTGATGTAATTGTTTTCCATCCCAGTTACCCTTAACACCCTTGACCACCTTGCTCAAGGTGAGTTTTCTTGAGGGTATGCTCTTCATCTAATATATGTGAATGCACTGGCAAAGTTCTCTTGCTCTGGACCCTGCATCCAATTCATTATCATTTGACCTCCAGTTCTT